ACTTGAATAATACTTAGTTACTCATAGTTTGTAATAGTTGTAAAAATGTAGATATATAGAACAAACTATGCACGTATAAACTTATTATCTAGTTTATTATTATTTATTATAAATATGTTATTTCTAATAATTAGAGTTATTCTCTTTGTATAAACATTATAAATTGATTATATTTATATATATGATGCTCATACTTATAAAAATAGAAGAAGTAACAAAAAGTTATGTACAAATTATATGAATATACCCCATCTTCATTCTTCAATATATATAAAAATTTAAAAATATTTTAGTTACTAAATTAATATTTTTGGAATATGTATTTTTTGTATATTTATTTGTATCTATAGTTATTAGGTGTGCGGATAATCGGGCGGGTAAAAAGTCGGGTCGGGTAACAAAATCCACCGGGTAAACGGGTCGGGTAAACGGGTCGGGTAATGGGTTTTTTGTTAAACCCGTACCCGACCCGACCCGGACCGCAGGTATAGAAATAAAACCCAAGCACGACCCAAAACCCGCCACTACCGGGTATACCTGACCCGATTTTTCCCGGTGGGTTTTTCTGACAACCCTAAATTTGTCTTATAATACTATAGAGCCAATGATTGACTCCTTTATGGAGCCAACACCCAATTAAATTGCTCAATGTGAGGATGTCCAACATAGAGCCCATGTGGGACATCCCTACATGGAGCAATTTAATTGGGTGTTGGCTCCATAAAGGAGCCAACCATTGACTCTATAGAAGGACTGCAATTTGTCTATTACAACTGAAAATTCTAAATGACACATTTTCAAAAACCAGTGTTCCCGGCCATCACAGTCGTCCGGTCTGAGGTGTTAAACTGCTGAGCACCAAAATTGGTTGGAAACCGTTCGAACAAATACAAAACGATTTAACCGGAAAACCTCAGTTTCTGTACAATGGCTTGAAGTGACTTATTCATTATAAGCATCTCACTTCTTTGTTGTCTTGGAGATATGAGGCTTGTTTTTCCCTCTTTTCCTTTATATAATTCTTTATTTGCTTGTGGTGTGGGCCAATTCCAAAGCCCACTAAATTTTCAACGTTTGGCCTTTTTTTTTTTAACACACGTATGCAAATGGAATTTGCAAATTTTGGGCCATTTTTTTCTTAATGCTCGTATGCAATTTTCAAATGCAAACTTTTCAAAATTCAAAACTAAAGCTCAACTTAAAAAAATAAAAATCATATATATTATATTATGTTACAAATTTATAATTTATAAATAAATAAAAATATTACATAATAAGTTTAACACATAAACGTTAATTTGATAATGATAAAATATATCTATATATTATACATAAAAAAACCAACGATAATTAATGATAAAAATATATGAAATTATTTATTTTACATATAAAATAAATAAAAAGTTCTATATTAATTAAACATGTTCGATCAGTTCAACAACTAGTTCGATCAATGAATCATTGAGACAGTAATTTCACCGATTCGGTTTTCGAAACCGTGGAGCTAATCATCATAGTGGATAGTTCGTACGATATACATTAAATGCTAAGGGATTCGACAATCATCCATCTAATGATGCTAAAAAAACAGGGACACGCGTGTCTCAACCCGGTTTCATCATTTATATTGAGATTAGATTATGTAGTACAAGAGCATTAAATGTGGTGTGATTAAATATCTTTAGAATATCTCATAGAAGAAAAAAAAAATGAAAATCCCAAAAGGGATTATAATAAGACCTCACATTTTATGTAAAAGAATAAAGAGGCAACATTAAATGCAATGAGGATATTCTCTCATTAATGATATAAAAGTCGCGGAGAGGATCGACATTCGTACCGAATCTATTATACACTTCTATTCGTGCAGACCGAATCGAGTGTACATTCTATTACGCAGTTCGAATACTGCTGGTACATTTTCATACATCAACCTAAGGTATGAGTTATTGATTTCTAATTTTTGACTCACAAATGGTCGACAAAAAAATAGAATGTGTACATAAAAAACTTCATTTTCTATTTCTCGAAGATGAAATATTTAATAAATTTTACAAGGAGTTAAGCTAAGCTTGTATGGTTGAGTAAATAAGTTCAAACTCAACTTATTTATTAAAATTATCAAATTAAATTCGAGCCTTTAACATATTGAGCTAGTTAAGAGCACGGTAAATTGCCAACATCCATTATTCTCGAGCCTAACAAGCTATAATGGGCCTAATTGAACTCGACACATTAACTAAACGAATTCATCTCACCCTAAAGAAAATTGTGCAACTTACATAAGATGGAGGATTTTTACATGGAAATTATTCAACATAGGATTGGCCAAAACATGGAGCCTGAGTACTATGGGTCTGGAACTAGATTCAAGTCAGAGACCCCCAAACAAGAAATCAGTTGTAAGCAAGCGGAATACGAGAGAAAGGCGACGATTGTGGTGGAGATAAAGAGAATGTGTTGGCTGCAACTCACTGACTGCGCTTATTGGATAAGACTTACCAACTCTTGCTCTAGGTTCGACTATGCAAACGTTTAATTGAATTATTTTTTGACATAGTATCATATGAAAAATTAACTATTACTAATACTGAATGATACAATAACAATGAACGATAATGCTGGTTAGGAGTACGAATGCAGGCTGGCAAGGGCTTCAACTAGGTAGCTCTGGAATGAAAAGTAAGGGTCAATTTGATTGTGGGGCCGTATGCAATGCGCAAAAGACGATGCACGTTTAAAACGTAAAAGAAAAATGTGTTTCTAATAAAAAGATATATTATAGAAATCAATAAAAGTCTTAATACTATCTTATAACATTGTATTGGAGACATATGCAAAGGCTTTAAATTTAATCGATATCGAAACAAATAAAATAAAAATAAGTGCTAAAATATAATAGAAACTAAAACGAGTTGTTAAATGATGAAATTGGGTTCACAATCAGTTAATTGCGATGAGTTCACTTAGCAACACTATTTCGCTTTCGAGAACATATTTTAAGGAGAAGCTATCATCCCGTCGCGTAATCATTTCGTGAGAGTTTTTAGCCTTTGGATATACATAAAAGTTAGTTATTGTAGAAAATCAATCGGACGCGAACTCGCCCCTAGTCCAAAATCTAACCTTGTCAATTGCTCAGTTTAGAAAATATTGGGGTGGGAATTACTATTTTGAAAAGTTTTTGGGGGCCATCTGTAAATTCTAAAGACTTATATAAGTTCTAACACACTCCCACATTTCTCTCGTACCATCTGCAAAACTCTCCATTTTTCGACCTTCATAGAGATCCCTTTGGAAAAAGAATGGCGGCGAGAATGGCGGCGGCTCGCGGTGCCGCAATCCTAACTCGGCTATCGGCTCCTAGATCAGCGGTTTCTTCAGCTCAGGCTTCCGCTCTAGTCCAGCGCCGTGGGCTCGCCGGCGGCGGTGGTGAGCTTTACCGTCCCCCGCTCTCGTTTCATCGATTGAGCTGAACTTTATTTGTCTATATTTCGTTTCCAATTCGATTTATGTATTTGATTATTGTTTTTGATAAAAAATTGTGATTGTGTTTTGTTTCTTTTGATTTTGTGTATAGATCACCACGGCCCCCCAAAAGTAAATATCTGGGAAGATCCACTGAGCCCGTCAAAGTGGAAGGAAGAGCACGTGAGTTTCCGTGTTTCTTTTTTTTTTTCCTCGATTTTGTTTTGCTTTAGGGCTTCAATGTCTAGGTTTTGTTTTTCCCCTAATTAGTCGAGTAATTTCCATTTGAATTTGTCGATTTGATGTTAAATTATCGCGTTTCTGATTTGAATAAGTCGTTTAACAAATGGATTAGCTGAAGTGCTTGATAATTTGTTTTGATTGTATGGAAACCGTTAAATTGTATTGGCCGGGGGGCCATTGACACTACACAAATTCTTGTGTGAGGCTAGGTCTATTTTTTTTTAACAAAATGCATACTTAGGTTGTGTTTAGCATTTAAGCTTGGTAATAGCTTATTTGATTAGCGTATAAGCTTCCTGTGTTTAAATAAGATTGGTTTGGTATGATGAACTATTTTAAAAAGCTCGAGTGTATCTCATAAACTTTGTTGAGTAGCTTTTCAAATAAGCCTATTGAATTTTTTATTCCATCATTAATGTTACAAAACACTTTTATATATAAGTTAGTTTTTCAACATAAGTCATAAGCTTCAACTATAAGCTCGAAATTCACTTAAAGTTATAAGCTAGCGAATCAGTTATAAACTAGCTTAGTATCAGGTAGGTTTACCAACATAGCCTTAAGCTATGAAATGTCATACTTTTGTTCATGTTTTTTTTTGACGTATGTATGTATGGATGCATATCTAATGTGAACGTCAAACGGTTGTTTGTATCTTATTTCCCCATGGTAGTTCTTGGAGGTCAACATGTCGACTATCCGAATTAGTAGTTGAGTAACAGTAAGATATCTACATTCTTCAATGTTAAATTTGGGAAAGATTCATATTTCATACTTAGGTTAACATAATTTGGCATCTCCATTGAACTTTGAAGTGTATATGAACAATATTAGAACGCTTCATTCATGTTCGGTTAGAATTTAACGGCAAATTTCTTTTAGAGTTTGCAAACAATCCCTTAGGAAGTAGGGGCCTATTGATCATCTTGTAGCATTATGATCCTTTTCTTGAGTGCAATAGAAAAAAAGGTTGAGCTTTATATGTTTTTCAAGCACGTGAGAAAGAAATGGAAGTTTTAGTTTGAGATTTTCCTCTCTTGGTGGTAGCTTACTATACTTATCGGCAGTAATCAGAGTACATAGATTTTGCATTAAGATTTGATAGCATCTCGTGTGAGGGCAAGTGATTTTTTCCACTCTTTGTGCGTTTGGTAATTAAGTTTTCATACTTGAC